TTTTGGGGCTGTCGCTGGGCAATACGGAGTTTCAGCTCCCTCTATAGATTTTCTATTGGGTTCAGGTCTGGAGACTAGCTAGGCCACTCCAGGACCTTGAAATGCTTCTTACGGAGCCACTCCTTAGTTGCCCTGGCTGTGTGTTTGGGGTCATTGTCAAGCTGGAAGACCCAGCCACGACCCATCTTCAATGCTCTTATTGAGGGAAGGAGGTTGTTGTCCAAAATCTCGTGATACATGGCCCCATCCATCCTCTTCTCAATACGGTGCAGTCGTCCTGTCCAGTGTGTGGACAGGTGTCTTTTATACAGGTAACAAGTTCAAACAGGTGCAATTAATACAGGCAATGAGTGGAGGATAGGAGGGCTTCTTAAAGACAAACTAACAGGTCTGTGAGAGCCAGAATTCTTGCTGGTTGGTAGGTGATCAAATACTTATTTCATGCAATAAAATGGAAATAAATTATTTAAAAATCTAACAATGTGATTTTCTAGAATTTTTTAGTAGATTCTGTCTCTCATAGTTGAGGTGTACCTACGATGAAAATTACAGAACTGTCCATCCTTTGTAAGTGGGAAAACTTGAAAAATCGGCAGTGTATCAAATACTTATTTGCCCCACTGTATATCTTTCCTTGTTGTGACTGGAATAGGTACAAGGGATGTTGGGTTGTTGGTGGGATGCAGGAGTTAATGTGGGATCTGAGCTAACAGGTGCTCGTGTTTGCCATAGGTTTAAAACTGTGTGCCTTCCAGACAACTGTGTTATCCTGCTACAAAATTTTCGGTGGCTGTGTTAAACGGTACAGCTCTCAGCCTCCTGACCTCTATTGGAGTGATCGCCCCTTGCTGTTACATGATGCTAATGTGCTTTTCTCAGAAATGTGCTTTTTTTATAAAGAAAAATATCCCTCCATATCCAACACTAATAACTCTGAGGTCACAGCGTCACTCTCACCTCTGTACTGATATCTGATGGTTGATTATTATTTCTGAATTATTATTAAAAAAGGGAAGGGAGTGTATTTTCAGTACAGTCCGGGTTTTAGAGAATAGATGTACAGTGCCTATAAAAAGTAATCACCCCCTTGGATGTTTTACCCTTTTGTTGATTTTATAAATCAATCATGTCCAATATAGTTTGGCTTTTTTGTCAAAACAAATTACAAAAAACTTTAATGTCAAGGTGAAAACAGGTTTCTCCAAAGTAATGTCAATTAAACAAGAATATGTAATGTGAAATAAGTGACTAACTATTCACCCCCTTTAAAATGACTGATCTAATTCAACAGAGGTCTCGCCAACTGGTGCTAGTAGTCTCACAGTTAGAGAAATGGCAGCGAATGTGTCTCTTGTAGTATAAAGACACCTGTGTCTGGAAGCTCCAGTCACTGGTTAATCCGTATTCCTGGCTACCATTATACCATGAAGACAAAAGAACACTCCAAGCAGCTCAGAGAAAAGGTTATTGAAAAGTACAAGTCGGGGGATGGATACAGAAAAGTTTCCAAGGCACTGAACATCTCCAGGAGTTCAGTTAAATCCATGATCAAGAAATGGAAGGAATATGGCACATGTCTAAATCTGCCTAGATCAGACCATCCTCACAAACTGAGTGACCGTACAAGAAGGAGACTAGTGAAAGAGGTCACCAAGACACCTATGACCACTCTGAAAGAACTACAAGCTTCAGCAGCTGAGATGGGAGAGACTCTGCATACAACAACTGTTGCCCAGGCTTTTCACCAGTCAAAGCTTTATGGGAGAGTGGCAAAGAGAAAGCCACTGTTGAAGACAACTCATATTAAAGCTTGACTAGAGTTCACCAAAAGGCATGTGGGAGACTCCGTGGCCAAGTGGAAGAAAGTTCTTTGGTCTGATGAAACCAAAATTGTGTTTTTTGGCCATCAGACAAGACGCTATGTTTGGCGGACACCAAACACTGCACATCACCACAAACACACAATCCCCACTGTGAAGCATGGTGGTGGCAGCATCATGCTGTGGGGATGCTTCTCGGCAAGATGCTTTGGGAGCTGACTTGTATGGACTTGGGGCAGCCAAGTATCCCAGAATGCACTGTGAGTACTCTAGCTGCTGGGGACCAGCTAGCTACAATTTGCAGACAGCTGCATCTCGTTCAGAGCAATCTCTCAGCAAGGACACTGATGTTCCAATTACACATGGAAAGTACTACGTCCTCCTGTTCTCGGGAGTTTGTACCTAAAGTATGACAGTACAGGAGTCTGAACTTGGTACTGAAAAACATCCGTAGTCTATCACAGAGACCACCCTAGTTCTTCTGTGTAACATTAACTTACCCAGCAACATTTCCTCAGACCATAAAATCTGTTGAACAGTTACAACTACAATAACACAAAAGAATCTCTACATCCTCAGTTTAGCTTTTTTTTTTTTTAAACTGACACTTTATCAAAGCATGAAACCCAATCAGAGGAGCAACATGGGATGTACGGTATTGTTTCCGCCAGCATTCTGCCTAAAATCAGCTCAAATGGATTTTATGTGTTTAAGTATGTAATGGAAGTATTTAGTGTGAAAGATAATAGTTGGATGCGTAATGACACCACCATCTCATCCGTAAGGCCTAAATGCAGTATGCAAATGGCAGAGTCCAAAATATGCCTGGGACCACTAGTACAAATGAAGCTGATAATAATGTGCACCTACTATGAGGAGAAAACATTTTAAGATGGTTTATGTGGATGTAATATCCTGCTAAAACTCTGCTGAAAAATTGTTTGCCGGCTCCTTAACATGTTATTATTCAGATTCAGGAGGGCTTGTCTCCCAATCACCTGAAGAAAGCCAAACTGATGTTCTTCTACACCCGTTACCCTTCCTCCAACATGCTCAAAATGTACTTCTCTGACGTCAAGGTAAGACCTTGCCCTTGTCTTTTTTTCTTCCCACTGTTTCTCTTACATTTCTTCTCTTTCATGAACTGTTCTCTCCTAATTTTCTTTTTCATGATCTTTCATATTCAAGTCTCTTTTTTGTCTCTTCTCATCTGACTTTACTGGTCTTTTTGTCTTCACCCTGAATTCAATGTATTTATTTTCCTCGAGATTGAATAGATGGAGGTTTTTAGTTTAAACTTCATCAACTCTGTGCATGCACACAGCTACTGGCACACAAAGCAACAAATGAATGAATATAAAATGTTTTAGAGTGCAAATATGAGAAGAAAGGGAAAATGTATCTTTGTCTGATCTGATTTTTATCTACTACATCTTGGTTTACATGACAAAATCTTATTTAATCATGTTAGGGCAGGTAAAGAGAACTTTTAAGATGTAGCAAGTTGGTCACTGATATTCAAAACTAGAAAAGGAAAGGTCTAGTTTGCATTGCCATGTTAAGGTAAAACTCGCAATGTGCATGCATACCATTGTAAGGAGGTAGGAAAGAGAGCAAAACAAAGTGATTAATACCCTGACTGGAATAGACACGCAATATGAGAAGCCATGCCGGCCTGTCAGGCCAGACATGGACACAGAGCAATGGGAATTCAATGGCATCATCAGAATCAGATTTCAAAAATCCCACTAGTGTTTTTTCAAAGACAGATGGGGTAGATCAACTGTTGCAAACACACACACACACACACACATATATATATTTATATTTATATATTTCTTGTTTGTTTTGTTTCTTCCTGAGCTCCTCTTTTCTCTCCTCATTATCCTTCTCATCATTTTGTGACATTTTTGCATTTGGTTGCCTGATATTATTCACTTCTGTGCATTATTCTGTTACTCTATACATGTGACTGTGTGTGAGACCTTAATGCACAGATGGGTGCTCCAGTCTCCCAGCATAATTGCAGCATAATTAGAGTTTCTGGCCTTAATCAGCCTGGGGTTGAAAGGAGGGAGTGGTGATAACGCCCACTTACCCTCTCATACACATACTGTAACCCCCACCCATTCACCGACCCACACACACATAAACACAACACTTTCACTCTCACTAACCTTATATGGAAAGTTGAACTTTTCTTATGTAGAACGTGTTTGACAGATGATGTACAGGGAGAAAGAAAGACACCAGTAGAAAATGGAAAGAAAGTAAAAGACAAGCAAAAAAAGTTGGAAGAAAAAAGGAGATGATGCAGAATGTGTGCATGCCCGTGTGTGCGTGTTGGCGTGTTTTGAGAGAATAACAGAGGGAGCACAGGGAGGGAAGAAAAACAAATGAAAGGGATGACAACAGAACAACAGCTTTAAAACAAAGGCACTGATTGTTTTCTGTTTACAGGCTGCTATGTGTTTTGCAAAGGAGCATACGGCTCCTCGATGGATTCAGGACACGCTATTCAAATGAGCATACACACACACACACACACCAGCTGCCCTATGGCTCATGTCTGTGGTGACCACTTCCTTGTGGCGGTGCCACATCCTCATTGGCTGCTATGGCAACAAGGGTTGCTGGAACACCAGGTTGCCAGGCAAACACAAAGCTGCTAAGCCTACCTGCTATCAGTATGTGTGAGTCAGATGGGTCATTAAGTGGGAATCCAGTGAGCAATAAAATGGACAGGTAAACCAAGTTATACCTGTGTTCACTGTTATTGAGACAATACAAGAGGAAAATGTTGAATTTTGTCAATCAATTACCAAAAATGTTATAAACTAAGATGCTTTAAACGTTCAATGTATCCAAAAAGTCCAATTATATTGCTTGGACTGAGAGTGGAAGGAATGCTTCTTTCAGTTTATCAAATGACACTGTTAATCCTAAAAATGTCAACTATTATACAGACATAACTGAAAAAAATCTGAGTTTTCTTTCTTCACCACATTAAATAAATAGTGCACAATCTTCAAGCTAAATACGATAAACACAGACAAACTGCAACTAAGCTAATGTAGGTTGCAGAGGGACAAACTCATCATCCTGAAGAACTTTGTGCAATAAACTGCGTTGGGCCCTTTACTATGTCACACATACACCATTTGGTGAATTTATTAAGTAAATGAATGAAGTGATTGCACACAGATGCTTCAGCTTTCTAAAAACCCCTAGGCAGAGGAGACTGAAAATAAAATATCTGCAAACCTCTGAATCATCCCGTTAATAGTGATGATGTACTTGAGCTCACTCATGACAATGGTAATTTTCCACAATCATCTCACTTTCCCTAAGTTATACTTTCTATTATCTGAGTAAATATGCTTAATAATTATGTGCCCAAATAAACTGTGGTTTTGGTGTTTAATTTGGAAAATGAATAAAATAGGACAATTTAGTTAATGCATAGGCTCAGTTTAAGAGTTTATCTTGTGGAGATTTGATATTAAAATGAATCTACAGTAGTCTCCAATCTGCAGGTTTGTCTCTAAATTTATATTCAATTGATTTGTTCATCACAAGAAACATGGATCTAGATTAGGAGATGTTTGCAATGCTTCAGCCTGCCACTTCGCTCAGCAGAGGGCAAGCATTACAGCCTCGATCTGGAACTGCACTCAGAACTGCAAACAGTGGGATTTACTGGAATGAAAACATGTTTTTATTGGATTGTCGGAGGTTTAAGGACTGACAGTATACTGTATCACAGAGGGGATGTGAACTCCACCACTAAAAGAAGCTGCTTTCACGTGTGAACCATGTCTGTGGAATCAAGTCCGGACTTTGTCTGGTTGTCCATTCACACATGTAGCACACAACAGAAGATAGTCAGTGTCACCTACTAAAAATAGTCCATCTGGTTTAAGCAAGGGGATGCACCTGGGTAGAGCTCGCAGGAGGCAGGACATGACATGGTCACGTAGCTGGTTTGTAATTAGGTCATAAACAACCAAGTTGTGCGCTGTTAATGACCAAAGTTCCTGAATCTCATCCTGTCTCCAGTTAGATATTTCCTTTTGGTGTATTCATTGTAAATGGCCATTTTTCTTCACCACTGAATGTTTGTTATCTTCCGGTTTCATGCCAGTCACATGATAGAATGTCATCAACACTCTCACTAGCTCCATGTGAATACTCTGAACTATACATCGCTGTTTTCTCACACGGGCTGACCTCAGCTCATTCGGACATTATACGGACTTTGTACTAGGGAGGTGGCAGAGTAAAGTTCACTTAAGGTCTGGGTTGACTGACTCAGACATTTGCGTTCTCACATACAGCTCACCCAGGTAAATTCTGGATAATTTCAGGGTTTGAGTGCATGTCTGAAAGAAGCTAAAGAGGTACATACAAGAAAGGTACATACTGAAAATACATTGACAAATAGTAACAAAAACCGCTTTTGATTACTGATACAGTACTTTTCTTATGGTAAACAAACCACAGGAGCAGAGTACTTATAGTTGCAAAAGAATACCCATTTGATGGTTCAGTGAGTATTACGAGTTCATATGGGACTTAAAAACTACACAATAACTCTAGTGTGTGTGTCCATGTAAGTTTGGCTGTAGTCGGTTTTTAATCATTTTTGCACAACAATAGTGCTCTGTGTGAAGACAGACTCAGACTTGTTAGCGGAAGCAAGTTATTGTTTTTTATATGAGATTTGTTGAGGACAAAATATATACAACCTCATCATTTAAGAAAAAATTGTTTATTATTCATATTTTATGCAAATAATGATTTAATTTAGATTTAATTGAGTCATAACCCCAGTTAATCCAGAATATTTATCTGTGGGAGGAACTTGACAGATATTTTGCTTAAAAATGAATCATGGATAATCCTATTTGTGATGAGCGCAGTTGTTCTTTTCAAGCACCCTGTTGCTGTTTGTATTTGCATGTGTGTCATTTTCATTGGCCCATTGCATTCATTACCATATTTCCAAAATCCAGGTCAGTCTCTCTCTCTCTCTCTCTCACTACCTCCCTCTACCCTCCTTCCCAAGGAGAGTAGCATGTGTTAGGAGGATCAGGCAGATTCACTGTAAGGGAATTAGGGCCCTGAATGGTTTCCCCTAATTGGACTTGAATGAACTTTGTCTGTGTGAAACCGCTTCTTAAAGTGGAGCCTCTTACACACAATGACCACCCCGCTCAGTGTGGGAAGTGCACTGAACTGACACTAATTAACAAGCATGCACATACATATACATGCACAGAATCTTAATTGCAGCATGACATCTCTTCCCCTCTGTCAGGCAGTCAAATACTGTATGTCAGTATGAAAGATGGCCACCGTCTCGTCTTGAGTGAGTAAGTGAGAATAATTAAGCCCTCGTTAAGACTGGAAGAGTTGGGATTAGTTACACATGATGGCCCAGGAAGCTCTTTCTAACTTACACACACACACAGACAAAGAGACATTTATCAGTGAGAGCCCTGAAGACTCTTTTCTTGAGAGGCTGAAATGACATGTCACAGCGGGAATCAGTGTCCAACTCACCTCTAACTTGCCTTGTCAATTAGAGTTACACAGCCAATCCGGAAATATCAGGATATGAATCAGCAACAGCTACTGGCACTGATATGACTGAACTTCAGTAACTGCCATGTTTAATTGTTTGAATTTAAAGCATTTACCCTCACATGAAGGAAGCAAAATTCAACATGAAACATTTTAAACAATTTAGTCTTTAACCAGAATAAAGTTTTAAAATGGGAAATGTAAATACAAAGTTTCCTTAACTTCTCAGTATGTTAAAAATAGAGCCAGTAATATAAACAGAACAGCTCCTGTTTGTGAACTGCAGGGTTTAAAGTTACTAAGACCTTGATCATATAGTAGATTGTTATGAGCCTTTTCTTCCTTTCCAGGAAAATAAGCCTGAGAGTAGCTGTTATGGAATGGACCTCAATAAAACTTCCAAAGTAAGATAATAAAAGTAAAAATAATTGGCCAGATAAAACCTAATAGCACAAAGCAAAAAGGGCTAAATTTGAGGTAAATAACATTTACAATTGTTTTGTGTAATTTTAAATATTTAACACTTAGAGTCACAGTACAACAGTCACCGAAAGGCAGTTTGACATTTTGACATTTGCTATCGAAACCGCAGACTCAATAAAATCAAGTAAACATTCATATAATATCCAACAGCCTGTAGTTAGCTTTTTTCTTCATGTCATATCAAACATGTGGCCCATCCACATATAACTACTATAAATCAATCAAAAATTAAGCAACGCAAAACCAGAAACTACTAAAAACCATGACTATATTATTTGAAAAAAATACAATAACAGCTATTTCTCCAGGATTTACAAAAACCCTTCAGTTTTACAACTCAGATCTTCATTGATTGTGCACATCCACACTGTCCTCTATAAAATGTGCCGACCTACAATGAATCTGGTTGAAGTGTGCAGTTTCTTAAAGGATGCGTGTGTGTTTGCCCTTCCAATATGGCGGGGGGAGGATGATAACACTTGCCATCAAGGGAAGCAGAGTTGGCGCACTCTGACGCTTTCTCTTTCCCGTATTTCATTGTAAAGTGAAAATGGCATTCCTCGAGCTCAGCATTTGAACATACCAGCCAGGAAGGAATACAAGAACGCACCAAAGTAGGAGGCGAGTGGGGAAATTATTTATTAT